GTAAACGCTGACGATAGAGTGACTGCCCAAAACTAAACAGCTTTAATAATAATGCGTTTCCATTTGAATTCGTTTACTACGTGTCTGGCGTTGTGAGTAACAATTTGGGCCACAAGTCTTCAGACATCAGAGGTTAATGCGCGCAGCTTACGTCATAAGGCAGACGCTCCCAGCTTGCATGCTGCGTAGATCACTAGATCACTTGCGGGCAGTTGTTATACCCTTGTTGAGCCGTATTTACTGTCACTACTGCTCTCGCTGTCAGTTAATTACTAACAGAAAAGAAATTCACTCGGGAAGGAACCGACTCCAAGAGTGCCTAATCCGGCGAGGTCAGTGTGAACTAGCTGGATGTCCCCCCCTCCATCACCGCCTGTGACAGCTATAGACCTGACTCAGTGCAGAGTTCTCCTAGCCATCAATAACATCGCTACGTTGCCTAAAAAAGACACCCCTTTATTCGATCACATCTTCTACTCAGCAACAACAGCTTCTCCTTCGGTTGACTTTAAGCGTGAATGACAGAGCCTCGAAAAGTGCAAAGGAACCTCCGACAGTCATATGACAGCTGCGCTCACCTATTTTACATGATTGGCGTTTTAATGCGAGCGGTCCATTTTGTACTGTGTAATACCTAAAAACTGCCATGAGCATCCAGTGCGCAAAGACAACCCAACGGGTACTGAGACATCAGCAATTGATTCATTAATGTTTTGCATTTAAGGCCTTGAAAACGGTCAGCTCATAAAGCTCCCCCGAAAGGTCGTTATCACATTATATCTCTACCTTTGTTCTTTTCCTCTTCTCATACCACAGAAAAGAGTATAAATGGATGCAAATATAGGAACCTCGAGTTAAGCAATCAGCACAACTTCCACTAATCTTTTCTTTTATTCAAACAATTCCTGGCTGCTATTCAAAGTTCCAACATTTTCACAGGTGTTACACATTCTTTGGATACTCTATTTTTCATGGTACTGCAGTTGACAGAGGTTTTCCGCTAATAAGATAACTTTCCCATAGAGGACTGTGCTGGCATTCTGAACACGGGCCTTAGGTCTTCTAGTAACACACCGATTTTATTGATCTGAAATTAGAGATAGATTAACTTACCTTTTTGTGGTCGGCTGCCATGAGCGTCCGGATATCCCCTTGTAGACGAGAAAGTTGTTCTTTGAACCAGGGCATCAATCCAGAGGGGACAACTGCAAAGAAAAGCCAGAAATAACAGCCAGTCTACAGACAACCAAGAGGTTTTAGTGCCAAACTACTCCTAAAAAGTACACAGGTAATATAAATGGGTCAGGGAGCTAGGGGATCATCCTCGGGCCCTTACACGATGATTACCCAAACACAGAAACTTCGGTGATACACAGTTCGCATGGGAAATTATAAGGGTCCTTCGGTAGTCGTTAAAAGAAAGCTGGCCGTCCGTTGGACAAATTCATGTCACAATCCCGGGCAGTTTCTCGCTAGTGCTACGGGCATGAGTTACTCCGCGAAAACATTAATATTAACTTCTTTCATCACTGCGTTTCAGTCAACAGCGACGCTATCGTTGAATAGGCAAGACACATAACGGCCGGTTGATAGAATAAGAGTGTCGATAGGATAAGAACATTATGATCGTCCGCCACAAGGATATTTAACTCCTTGAGCCAAAGTGCGTTAAAAGATGAAGGTTAAGTCAAATCTACAAATCAAGTGTGAAGTAGGTTTGACACAAAGCAGAAGCAAGCATTCTATCGAGCAAGGGGAGGTAAGAGACACATGCCGTTATTGAGGTTGCATGATACACCATACTGTAAGGACAGGTAATAGCCGATATTCGGCCGCTGCATCAAACACCTTCAAGGGGGCCGACGCATCACTGGGTCCCTCAGCATTTCCCATGTCCTTTCTGGGAAATACAGTGGGGACTCCGGTGAAGAGCAGCCCCAGCTACGAGTATTTCAGGTAACGAGCGAGCCACTAGCAGAGAAAAATGTTTACATTGACGAGCTTCCGCTTAGTTAACGAGTTGTCAGTGCTTGTGTGTGTGCTTGTGTCCGCCGCTGAGTCTTGCTCCCAGAGCGCGGGCCCGGGTGCCTGCAGCCAATCAGTGAACTGATGCAGTTTGATTGGCTACGTTTCGCAAGACGTTTCGCAAGTCATTGTGGTTATAAAACAAGAAAAGAACTATACCCAGGCGGTGGAATGCCTCCAGTTGGTACAGGGCGATGTACTTGGCGAACTGCTCGATGGCACGAGGCCAGGGTAGGTCCATAAGGTGTTTGAGAGCAGCCACGCAGACAGGACATTTGTGAATGGGCTGGCTATCTTAACGGAAGAAAAAAATGTGTATGTCAAACAAGGAAGACGACAGATAGAACTTTAAGGCAAAGGAGATTTTTGGCTCTTATGAGAGCTCTGAAGTGAGACCAACGCTGTTGCCCCGTTCTGCCCCGCAGATTCAATTTGACCTAAAGGCTTCCGACAACAAGAGCTTTGAGGATTTTAGTCAAAACACTTACGTGAAATTCGACTTTATATCAAAAAATATAGCGAAATATGAGTGAGAAGAGATTGGGAAAAGAAAAGGGAAACTGGAATGACGCTACTGGAACATTGGCCATAATAATAAGACAGACATATTCCAACCCTAAAACAAGAAGATAGAAAGAACAGGTGTTTTTCTGCGAAGGGATTTTAGAAGCACTGGCCAGGTCTGACAAAATACAATAGATGTGCTATCTCGCAAAAGGTTAATCGAAATTCTGAACTGGTCTGTAGATTAGAAAAAATACTTAGATAGAGTTTTAATATTAATAATCAGACAACATCATCTCAATTTATATCAGTCACACCAGGATGTCGGCCATTTCATGTGCCTTTTTAACTGCCTTAAAAAGACTGTAAAAAGCTAACTTAAGGAGTATGCATTTTTATCGAGTTTAATATGCCTTTATATGTCCAAATATATTTAATGGAGCACATGCATAAAAATATTCATCCTTGGACATATTTGGTAGAAAACTAAGTCATCTTTAAATTTTATACTTAAAAAAAGGGCATAATTTGGTTTTTAAATATTGTCTCAATCCTTTAATCCCTTTGAATTTAGTTTGCATTCGGAATTTACATTTCCAAGGAGTATATTTTTCGTGTAAATAAAATCAAGTATTAAGATGGGGTTATATACTATTTTTAATGTACAGTGAATGTGGACCACATAAGATATTTAGCAAATAATATTTCTAAATGGAAAGCTAAGATGCTTTATGAATTAAAAATGCCATATTGTCAATGGGATTAGATAAGGATAGTGCCCCAATGACTATCGAAGACTTACGGATTCCCCTTGGGCTTAAACGTGCTACCAACAGTAATGACGTTAAATTTCTGATGGATACTTCCTGGACTCCACATACGAATGATTATAGTCTAAAAGTACTCGAGAGTCAACCACTTTTAGACTGCAGACGTAATTGAGTAAGCAAATGATGATTTTACATTTAAAATCAACTGAGCAAACTGTCCGCAGTAAGTTTGAGAACGGAAGGAGGTTAACACTGACTACAAGTTGCAGAAAGTCGCCAATGGAATACGCATAATAATGGAGATAGAGACTTCAGCCAAGTGTTTTAGAATCGTATATCCCGCTGGAAGTGGTGTTAATTTTTTTCGGTGGGTTCAGGGGCGTATGTAACCTTGGCAGCAGCGAATAAATTCTTCCTTGGGCGGCGGTAGCAAATCCATTAACTTCTTAAATTTTTTCTTTAGTAATTTTAGCTGCAAATTTCGTCAGAACCCTGCGGATGCGGTCGGGGCACACTGACCATAGTTATTATGAGCTCCGCAAAATTGGCCTTCTCAAAGAACAGAGTATGGGGGTACCTCGTTCTGAAACAATCTATCCACACGTTCTACGCTGAGTTCGACCACAGCCACGGCAGTGCTATATATCATTCAGATTTTGGCCAGCAATGCCGTGAAAATGCGTACGTTCATGCTGTTACCTTGCGGTAGTGAAGGTAGGATTATGGAGAAAACTGCCGCGCATAAAACTCTAGGAAAAGTTCCTTATTGTTGCACTCAAAAAAGCCATGACGACTGAGCACGCATTCTCAACTGACACAGCCTGTGGCGGTTGGAGAAACCCAGCAGCCTGAACTGTGGGCGTTCATAGAAAGGCATGTGAATTGTGACAGCCTGTAGCTAGCACCAGGTTCGTTTCATGAGGGATTGACAATCTACACCGAAAATCGATATCCCCGAAAAAATGAATGCTCCCAGCCTATACTACTAGGGTCACACACCTTCCAAAAGATCTTGTAGACTGTTGATGTTCTAACTTATCATACTAACAGCCAAAATATACACATGTAATTTCGGTCTGTGTCTAAAGACCTTAAATATACAATTAGGTCAATCGAATTATTGAAATTTGCCAAAGCCCTAACAACCAAGGTTACCCTAGTAGTCCATCCAGTGGGTTCTAGATGATTACTTAGGAAATCCTGCCAGGGCAGTCAGCCTACTGTAGTCATAATGGTAGATTCCATACGAGCAGCAGGTTGGAAGGGTAAAATCGACCCAAGTATGATTAAATTCACGGCTCACAGTGAACTTCGTAGCTCAATGATAGAGCGTTGGCTGCGCAAAAGCCTGCCCTGCGCCTTCCCTTCCCTGTGGGTTCGACTCCCACTGAGGTCGGGATTTTTTCCCAATTGGGTCAATCGAATTATACTGATGTATACCGCGAACATAAATTTATCTTGAAGGAAATTAAAAATTCGAATTTTGTAGACTGTCGTTGGTAGGCTCAGACCCAGTAAACCGGGGTCCTGGATTATCGGTAGGCAGTGTGTCTCGGACCTTTGACCTTGTTGCCATGACAGATTGCACATAAATCTAAAAACACACAAGCACCAACTAGACACGTTCAAAACGCATGCACAGGACTACATCAGTACGTGACTTACATTTGTGGGATGTACCTTCCGTCCCCGAGGTCACCTCCGCAGCATCAAAGAAGGCCTCGTCATCAGTGGAGTCAACAACGACCGTCCGCCAGTGGTTCTTAAGGGCTAAAAAGCATGATAAGCGTCGACTGTCGGTCGGATCAGGTAAAAAACTGATAGATTTACGAAAACGTAGCAAGTCAGTAAACAGGTAAATTGCCTTAGTTCTGTGCTAGTTACCATGGCCAGGCGTCAGCGGTCGGAAACGGCGGCCCGAGAAAAAAACGTTTAACTACAAGGACTCATTCCTACCAGTAAGCACACATGATGTTTTAAGCTGTGT